GCAGAGCTGGCCTGAGGGAGGCAGGGTCTCAGAGGGAGGAGGCCACAGGCCACAACCCACCAAGGGCTCTGTCCTACCTTTTCAGGCAGGTTCCACCTCTCCATTTGGTGGGTCTGGGGTGTTGGGACACTCTGTCTTGGCAGGGGCTAAAATGCAGGACCAAGAGGAGGGGAATATCCCTAAGAACTCCCATTTCCCTCCCAGCTGGACATAGGTCCCAGGAGTGCCAAGGCTGGCGGGCCTGGGCCAGGGCCAGGGCCTGGGGCTGGGCCTGGGGCTGCAGCAGAGCCTGGGGAGGCAGGAGCAGGCTCTGGGGCAGGCACCATGCTGCAGTTCTTCACCCGCCTGCGCCGCCATGCCAGCCTGGATGGAGCCAGCCCCTACTTCAAGGTCAAGAAGTGGAAACTGGAGCCCAGTCAGCGAGCATCCAGTCTGGACACGAGAGGTGAGCCTCAGTTCCTGGTAGGCAGCAAGGCCCAGGAGGTGTGTTGGTAGGTAGTCACAGTGCAGAAAGCTCTGCCCCAGGGAGGGCCACGGTCCCTAGCTAAGCCATCAGCCCTGTGGGCCAGTGGCTGGTAGGAGGACCCAGGGCCTGGCTGACTGTAGAGGGGCTGTCATGGTTCCAAGGTTCCCTGCACCCTGGCTGGTTGCCGTCTGGTGACACACAGGCCACCTGGCACAGAAGTTCTGAGGCCAGGCCTCTGCCCAGCATTCCTCCCTGCGTGCCCCAGGCCCTGTGCGCAGGCCCAGCTCTCAGCCAGAGGTTCAGCTGTGCTGTGCAGACATCTGCCCAAGGGACTCCTCCCTGGGAAGAGTCCTCTCCTTTGGTCGGGAGCAACGCGGCTGGACTAGGCCAGGATCAGCCAATGTTTTCTGTGAAGTCCTGGACTGTAGTATTTGTGTCTTACGGCCAGATAGTTTTGTCTCAACTATTCGGGCGCTACTGAAGCTAGGGAGCAGCCGGGGAAGAGTCAGTGAAGAGGAGTGCCAGTAAAACTTCATTTCCACCTGCAAGTGGGGGGCAGGTTAGGCTTGTGGGCAGCAGTTTGCTGACCCCTAAACGGAGGATGTGTGCAGGGTTGTGGGGAAAGAGGTGCCCTGATGGTTTAATCCTCCCTGCCCAGGAGACCTTAGTGGGGCACGGCAGCTCAGAGGGTTGGCCAGTCAGGCCCGGGGTGCCTTTTCCCCTTGTCCAGGTAAGGTAGTAGGAGCCATCATCCTGAGAGGCCTCCTGTAGCAAGAAAAGGAAGGTGTGGCTGGGTGATGTGGTTAAGACCTGGTGGGTGACTTCTCTTTCATCTGGTCCACCCAGGCAGCTTCTGGCAGGGGATATGGGGAAGGCAAAAGCCTGTAGGCTGCCCTGTTTCAGCTGAAAGAAGGCATTTTGAGATGGCGCAGTTGGGGTGTCGCAAACCTAACCAGGACTGTGGAACAGTCCCCCAGAATTCCCCAGGCCAGGATGCCGCCTCTTACCCGGACTCCCACAGCCTCCACTTTGCACTTTGAGCCGGGCTGTGCCTGTGCACCTAGTTGCATCTGTCTGGCCAGGGCTGCTCTGGGGGCACTACTTCTACCTAAAACCTTTACATGGTGCCTGCTTTTTGGTCTTCGTCTTTCTGCCCTCTGCCTCAGTCTCCTCACCTGTGCTTTAGCATGCACAAATCCTGGGACCCACTGTCCACAGCCTGGGAGCTGCCAGCTGGGGTCTGACATGGGCATGGGGGACAGAGGCACAGACAGACTGACCATTCTTTCCCTTTATAGGTTCCCCCAAGCGGCACCACTTCCAACGGCAGCGAGCAGCCAGCGAGAGCATGGAGCAGGAAGGGGACACCCCCCATGCAGACTTCATCCAGTACATTGCTAGAGCTGGCGACGCCGTGGCCTTCCCACCCCCCAGTCCCTTTCTGGCCAGCCCCACCAGCCCACCCCCCTCTCTCGGCAGGTATTTTTCAATAGATAGAGGCGCTAGGGGTGGACCTGTGGGCCCCTGCCCTGCTCCATCCCCCCTAGGTGGCTCAGGGAGCTCCCTCCTGGTCCTGTGGACTTCCACTCGCAACCCCCTGGCAGCCTTGCAGGGGCTACCTCTCCAGCGAGGACCGGAGGAGGAGGGAAGGAGGGAAAGACTGGGTAAGGGCAGGCGGGTGGGCATGGCCCTGGATGATGGCCCCAGGGTCCCCAAGATGGGACACCTGCCTAAGCAGGGCCACCATGGACTTCTGTCCATCCTGGTGTTGCTATTTCCCAGTGGAATTCGAGGCCTGAAGGGCTGCTCGGTTCCAGGCCTTCTCCCACCTGCCCATTCTCCTTAGGATGGACAGTTGTTTCTCAGAAACTATTTTGACCCCTTTCTCCAGCAACGTCCTTCTCCACCCCAACCCAAAGGCAACTGTCCTGAAGCCCCATAGCCAAACCAGTGGGATGTGGGAATGGGACCCAGAAGTGCAGTCCAAGCTTGGGTTACTCCTGTGTGAGCAGGTGACCCTTCACTCTTGTGCATCACCCTTCTGGTCCTATGTGATGGGTGAGTGAGGTGACCCACTAAGGAACAGAGGACAGGCTGAACTCATCTTGGTCTAGTTCCTCTCCTGTGGCCCCCCACTTCCACCAAGAGCCCAGGAAGAGGGACTCGGGAAGAATGTTAACTCTTGGGGTGGCCTGTTTCTGCAGCCTCAGCAGATGCTGGGGACCTACATCAGCTTTTGGGTTGGCAAGCAGCCCAGTCCCCCAGTACCTCTGTGCCCACCCTCCCTGACCCAGAGGCGGGTGGCCGGCTGGGAGGGGTTCAGCTGGTGGGCTCTGACAGCCGTGGCCTGGCTTGCAGGCTAGAGGCAGCCGAGGCGGCGGGAGGAGCGAGCCCCGAGTCGCCCCCAGAGCACAGCGTTGGCGCAGGACTGCAGCAGCAGCCACAGCAGCAGCAGCAGCAGCAGCAACTGGAGCCAGACCCCGAGCAGACCCAGGCCAGCTACCGCGACCTGTGGAGCTTGCGTGCCTCCCTGGAGCTGCACGCGGCCGCTGCCTCAGACCACAGCAGCAGCGGCAATGATCGCGATTCAGTGCGCAGCGGCGACAGCTCTGGGTCTGGGGGCGCGCCCCCGGCCTTCCCGCCGCCCTCACCTCCCGCGCCGCGACCCAAAGACGGCGAAGCGCGCCGGCTGCTGCAGATGGACAGCGGCTACGCCAGCATCGAGGGCCGTGGTGCAGGAGACGATGCCGCCGAGCCACCCGCCGCTCCGGCCCCGCCACGCAGCCCACGCGCCTGGCCACGTCGTCCGCGGCGCGACTATAGCATCGATGAGAAGACAGACGCGCTCTTCCACGAGTTCCTGCGCCACGACCCGCACTTTGACGACGCACCTGCTGCCACGCGCCACCGCGCCCGCGTGCACCCGCACGCACGCAAGCAGTGGCAGCGCGGCCGGCAACACAGTGACCCCGGTGGTGCCCGCGTGGCTCCAGCCACGGGTGGCGCGGCCCCACCCCCCGGAGCGCCACGGCCCACGCGTGCGCCCTTGCGCCGGGGCGACAGCGTCGACTGCCCACTCGATGGCCGCGTGCTTGCCAGCACTGGCGACGACCCAAGCATCCCCGTCATTGAGGAGGAGCCTGGCGGGGGCTGCCCAGGCTCGGGTCTATGCGTCGAGCCCACGGGGGCGCTGCTGGACAAGCTGGCGGCCAGCCTCGATGAGAGACTCTTCCCACCGCGCCTCGCCGAGCCTGTCGCCGCGGCCCCAGCGCTGGTCGTCGCCGCGGCCCCCACGTCCCCCGACCACAGTCCAGCCTAATCCCAGTGTCCCCATCCCACCTCGGCAGCTTTTCCGGCGCCGCCCAGGACCAAGCTGGGGCGCGAGTCCAGCACGTGTGCCGGGCGCCCTTCGCTGCTGCGCCCAGCGCCCAGCCCGCCGCGTCTCGCAGCCCTGGGTGTGCGGGCACCGCCCCCTCTGGGCGCTTGGTGGTCATAGGACATCCCGAGGGGCGAGGCTCGAGTGGCGGGAGAACCATAAGTTCTCTTAAGACTAGTGAGCAACCTCCAGCGGCCCTGGGCCCCCACGGGCAGAGGGTCCGTGGCCCAAGGCCTGTGTGAGGACCGCGAGCTCGGGCTGGGGGCCGACGCGGGCCGGGTGCACGCGGGAGTCACCGCCCGCCCGCCGAAGTCGTTTACCTCCCACTCGAGCAATAACCGGGCCGGCTGCCGCCCCACACCCACACCCCCACCCTCCGCATGTGGCCCGCCAGTGTTGAGACGTGAAGGAGACAGCCCAGGTGACACGGTTTCAAGTTTCCCAAGCTTTATTTATTGCCAAAAGATGGGGCAGCCCGCGGCTGAGCAGCCCCTGCCGCTCCTCCAAGCTCTCCGCCCTGTCCGTACCATCCAGTGATGGGTTTCCTGTTGTGTTTTTGTTTTTCTGGTTGATCATAAATATTTACTGCATATTCTGATTTGCTCTGGGTTTTCTCTGAAGACCCAAGACGGCAATGGCCTTGGGGGAGGAAGGTCACGGTCTTTCACAGGCCCTGGCCACTGAGTCCAGAAGTCTAGATCCCACTGCCTCAGCAAGAAGCCATGACCATCTGTGGGCCACCATGCTCCCACCTGCCAGCCCCACCTACCTCCCGACAACTCCCAAACACCTGCACAGCCATAGCTCAAATCCACCTGTTTTATTTAAAAAAGAAAAGAGAAAAGGAACCAACCAAATGACAAAAACAAGGCAGCCAGCGGCTCCCTCGGGTGGTTCTGCATGCAAGGCGGCTGCCAGAGGCCTGATCTCCAGTCCGCAGGCATGGGAGGCCCTGACAGGAGCAGAGTGGAGACCATGGAGGTGGCTGGAGAGCCAGTAGTCTAAACATAAAGTGCATCTCAGAGGCCAGGCCCCTCCCTCCCTCTCCCTGGGGAGGCTCCACACAGGACGGCAAAGTCAAGTGGTGTCTACTGTCCAGCGGTGCTGTGTGCAGAGGGGTGAGGGCAGGGCCAGGCCCAAGTCCCTGCCAACCCCAGTCCTGGCCCTTGTGCGCCTGACGTCCTGAGCAGTCAGCACAGAGGCATGGCGGCCACCTTCCTGGGCAGGCAGTGGACCAAGAGCTGACAGGAAGACTGAGGAGGGCCTGGGCCATGGCACCTGGCCAGGGCTCCTGGAAACAGGCTGCGGGAGGACAGAGGCAGGTCACTCTGGGCACCTGGACCTCTTTGCTTCCTGAGGGGCAGCCTGCACTAATGGCCCACTGCAAAGATGGGGAAACAAGCCCATGGATGGGGGCTGCCAGGTTCCTGGGCCCTGGCCCAGGGAGCCTACCCTGAGAGTCATTCCCCAGAGTAAATTGACAGCAGGCCTGGCCCTTCCCCAAAAGCAACTTCCCACCCTGCAGGCTGGCTCTGGACCCTGGGTGGGGTGGGGCAGGCAGAACTGGAGGAGGTGCCCTGGGAGTCCAGCAGCATCTAGGATGACTCAGCCCCTCAGGACGCTCAGAGCACAAGCAGCCAGGCAGGGTTGGTCCCCTCTGCCACCCACACAGCCACCTCAAGAGCCTCTCTCTTGGGAGTGGCCTGAGCACACAGAGCCAGTGGCTCCAGTTGAGCCCTGAGTGGGAAGGGAATTTGGCCCAGTAAAGACCACAGGTGCTGGTGTGGCAGGACAGCACCCTTCAGAAAATGGCCTCTACTACATCCCCGGCCCTGCAAAGACAGGCCATGAGCTGCTGAGCCCGGCCCCATAGCTGCACAGGCTGCAGTGACCAGCAGGACCAACAGAGATGGGGGTTGTTAAAGCTCAGGGCCGTGAGCTGAGTGGACTGGGAGTCAGGCACTGACACCAACCTGCCCTGATGGAAACTGAGTACATGTCAGCTCAGAGGCCACTGCCCAGGTCTCCTGTCTCACCTAACAACCACTTCTAGGCCCTGGGACTCAAGAGCCCAGGACTGCTGGGGACTGCACCGACAGGCTGAGTGCCAGAACGGCCCTGGCTGTGGTTGCCATCCCCCCACCAGCTGGTTGGGCGCGTACCACCTGCAGGCTGGGCCCTCACTGCTGCTTGCAGGCTGAGAGTCGGCGGATCTTGCTGCTGGAGCAGGCTTTGCGGGCAGGGTTGGTGGCACTGGCCCGGCACTCCACCTTGGTCTTGGAGCTCAGCTGCGCGGACTCTGTGCCGTTCATGCACACAGCCTTGGGCAAGCTGTGGCTCTGTCCATTCTGACTGGCCTCCTCTTCTGGGACCTGTCCTAGGAGGAAAACCACAAGTGTGGCCTAAGCCAAGGGGCAGCATCATCCAGAGCCCCAGGCCCAGGCCACCTGCTGCCCACCACCAGGACAGACCAAGGACCTGTGCACCCTCAAAAGCCACCTTCGGGTTCTGGGGGCCCTCTGTGTAGCCAGGCCAGATACCTCCCAAAGGCAACAAAAAGCACAGGGACTCCCTCTGCCCACCATATACTGCACCCGCCTGGACCTCTGACAGGATCTGATGGGTCTCCTGAAGGAACCTCACTCAATGGAGGGGGAGGGCTGGTGGGACAGGGCCCTTGCTCATGCTCACCTGCCTGCTGAGGTGTGTGCTGTGGGTGTCTGCCTGCAGGTGGGCCTGGCTGCCCTCAGGCCCTCCAGCCTGTTTGGCATGCTCACCAGTGAGGACACCTGGCACAAGCCCACTGGGGATGAAGCTCAGCAGGCACACTACCAGGGTTTCTGCCTGCCCCAGGCCCGCTGGCTGCCAACTGCCCAGCATCCTGTGGTACCACAGGCTGGATCACTGCTAGCCCTCCCTGCCCAGTGGGCACTGACTGGGAGTCACTGGGGCCACTGTCAACACAGGACATGGCTATGCCCACCCTGCACACGTGGTGGAAAGCGATACTACCCACGGCTCTTGGGCGCCAAGAGCACCTCATGGGAGGAACTTCCAGAGCTTTGGGAACTCACTGTGAACCCACTGTGTGCAGAAGCCATCAGTTCTAAAAGGCACCTTGGTAACAGCAGCCCACCTGTCCTAAGGAATGTGGGTGGGGGTTAGACACAATGCCGTCTTGTCTGCCGGAGTACTGAGCACCTAGGGGACATCTCCCCTCCAACACACACACACACAAGCTTAAAAGCTACCTCCACAGGCACAACCCAGAACTTGTGGTCTGGGAGCAGCCTACAGAGTGGGTGACTAAACCCCCATTCTGAGTGGGGCAGTCAAGGAGCTCAAAGTAGGAGGGTCTTGGGGCAGGTGAAGTGACAGGGCTGGCCCAGGAGCAGCTGAGAGAGGGCCGTGGCCAGACCCAGAGTGGCTGTCCTGCTTCTGTAAAGGGTGGTCGGGCCAAGGTCAGGGGTAGGGCTCCAACCACAAGGGCACATCCGGAGCCACCCAGTCAATCAGGCACAGAGGCAGGGAGAGGGTGTCCACTGTCCGAGTCCTCAGCCCCTCCTCTGCCAGGTCCACCTTCCTTAAAGTCAAAGCACTGGGACTGAAGGCTTGAGGGGTCCTCAGGTGGACCTTGGGAGCAAGCATAGACCCAGCCAGAGAAGCCCTATGCAGAGGCTTCTCACTGGGTGCTGTGGAAACTGAGGGGTGGCCTAGGACTCGTCTCCAGCAGAGGCTCTGGGCACCTGGCTGGGCTCAACCTTACTCTCACTCAGTCCACCAGTCTGACACAAGGCCCCAGTGTTCTGGGAAGAAAGCCATCAGACACCAGACACAGACCCCCTCCAGTAGGGTCTCCCGGGGCGGGGGGCACAGTGCACACCTCTCCTCCCAGGACAACCCGGGTCCCAAGAAAGTGCCTAGCACCCAGTAGCTGGCAAGAGGCAGTGTGCACCCAAGTGCCCCAGGGCACGAGAGGCCTCCAGGACACTGTCCTGCTTGCTAGGGCGCAGGGCTCCTGGCTGTACCTCCCTGGCCTTGGGCCTGAGGGCCAGCTGCATGTGAGTTACTTGAGGGGCCCGGAGGGCGCAGGTGCTGCTGAGCACGGTGACTGGCCTGAGGACAGGGAGGATATCAGGGCCCACCCAGGGACTCTAACATTCCGGGACCCTCCTCTGGCCAGTGGGCATCCCATGCTCCAGGGACCTGCCTGCGCACCCTGCCCTGCCTTCTCGGCTGGCCTCAGGTTCGCCTCAGGCCCCTCGTATACCAACTCTTTCTCAAACAGCCTGGAGGCCACAGCCCCAGTGGGACCTTGAACGAGAGGGCCCAGGCCACAGCAAGCATCCACCTGCAGACACAGGGCCAGGCAAAGCTTTATGGCAGGACACACTCAGGAGGACTAGGGATTGGCCAAGGCGGCGGTGTGGAGCAGGCTACACTAAGGCCTCAAGCTCCTCCTCGGGGGCCACCGCAGTGCCAGCCTCCTGGGCCTTCTCTCCACAGGGGTCTGCACCCTGGCTCTTCTGCACGCCTCTCTCCTCGCTAAGCCCTGCCTCAGACGCCTCCTCGTCACCTGGGGAAGAAGGCAACATGGGGTCAGAGTGCAGGCGGCTCCAGTGACTGGGAGGGAGGACTGCAGTGAGAAGTCCCTCCCTCCACCCTGCAGGTCTCCCCACCTGTTCCCACTGGGCTTGGGCCAGGAGGGCTGACAGGAGGCAGATGCCCAGGGAACCCTCCCAGCAACATCAGCCCCACGGGTGTCCAGCAGCTCCTATGGCCTGTCTGCTGTGCCTTGGCAGCCGGGGACGGAGGTGGCCTGCACCAGGCTGGAGCCTTCAGGGAGGAGGGACCTGCCACCAGAACACAGCTGGCCCCCCTGCATACTGCCAGGTGCTCAATTTAAGAACATCCAGGCGGGGCTGGCTCTGCACCCACAGCATGGGGTCTGCCAGCTCACCAGGCACGGTGAAGTCCTGGGTGTAGATGATGCCATCCTCAATGTCAAAGAGGTCCTCATCCTCATCCTCATCAGTGCGGCCATGTAGGTCCTCCAGGTAGGGCACGACTGTCATGCTGCGCCAGCGGTCCTTGGTGTCTGGGCTGGGCGGGATGGGCACCAAGGCCTCTGCCAGTGGATGCTTCTTCCGGAACCAGCTACAAGAGCCCATCAGGACAGGCTCCTCAGTGACCACTGGTCCCACCACTCGTGCAGGAGCCAGGGACTGCTGTGACCCTCAGCTGCTTCCCCTACCGTCTGCCTGCCACAGTCTTTGCAGGATCAGGCCATCTGCTAAGACCACAACACTGTCCCGTGGCCTAGGAGCCAAGGCCAGACAGGAGTGAAACAGGTCCCCAGGGCACTATGGCCTGCCCCTTGAGGCAGAGTGGCACAGTCCACAGAAACCCAGGCAGTGGTCAGGAGACACGACGGGAGCTGGTCGCAGACCTTCCTCAGGTATTTATACTAATACCACGGCCACGAGAGACCTAGAATCCGAATGCTAACACAGCAAATGGCAAGCCTGGGCTGGCATGGATACCCAGGAACCGGCACACCCCACTGACACTGGGCCCACCCTGCCTAGCTGCTCTCCAACCTCCTCCACGCCCTCTGCTCACCAGGGAGGAGCCCTTGAGGCCCACAGCTCTTGACCCTTAACAGAAGTTTCTGCAGATTGGTGTGTCCACTTGCTGGCTAGCAGCCGAGGCCCTTGAGGCTGTCAGCAGGGTCAAGATTCTGTGGCCGGCCCCTGCCAGCTCCAGCACAGACTCTGATAAGGTACCTCAACCCCTGAGGCCCTGTCCTCTTGGGACCCAGGGCTCTAGACAGCTGGGGTATCAGTGAAGTCTGGGGTCTCCATAGAGGCTTCTGTGGTCACCCCGATTTACAACTGCCCACTGTCGTCACATCCCTCTGGGCCTGCCCAGGCCTCTAGGTATCCATTCCAGAAACTCCCCTGGCAGGGGGCCACTCCTTAAACCCTAATCCTGACTGGCTGCCTGTAGGTTCCCGGACCCCAGACCAAGCTGGCGCCAGCTCTTGGATGCCAGACAGCCTCACCCCTGAGGTTAGAGGAGACTGGCAGGAGGAGGCAGCTCTGTCCAGAACCTCTGACCCGGCCACCCTGTCCCCTCTTCCTCACTTGGAGCCCCTGAGCTGCTGGGGCCCAGGCTAACCTGTTGCCACTCTTGGGAGGAAATCAAGGGCAGATAGGGGGAGGCACACTTCACAAGCCAGCAGTGGGTGCTTACTACACTCACAAGTGGCCCCATAACACCCAACAAGGTGGTCATGGGCCTGCCCTGCTGGGCCCACCCCAGCGTCGTCTTCATCACATCCCTGTCCTCTCAACCCAAACATCCAGCTGGCTCATCTCCCCACGAACTGGTCGCTGTTGCCCCAGCAAGCCAAGCAGAAGAGACCTGGGCAGGAAGGGCAGCCCAGGCTCACCTGTGCTGCCGGATCTGCCGTATGGAGAACCTCTTGGTGGGCTCGTACTCCAGCATCCCTGTGAAGATCAGCAGACACCAGGTCACCATGCTGGGCAGGCCCCTGCCACTCCCTGCTGCCTGTTCCACCTCAGTCATCCATACGCCACCCACCCTGCTGTGCACACTGAGCACCAGGATGGGCCGCTGTGAATTGAGCCAAGAGCGCAGGACCTGGTGCCCTGGCAGGGCCTCCACCTGGGGGAGGGACTGGCTCAGCACAGATCCTACTGGCCACAGCACCTATGAACTGGCTCTGCAGTCTGGACAGGAATGCCCCCATGCTCTCCTGGGCCCTGGCATGTGTTGGGCAACCAGCGCCACCTGCTGCACTGCCTGAGCAACAGCAGGCAGAGGCCCCACAGACCCTGCTGGGCACTAGAGAAGGGATGTGGGTACAGTAGCCAGTGCCTTCAGGGTGCCTAACCCGAAGCAAAGGCTCAAAGCAAAGAGCAGAGCCTGCAGGGGAGGGGGGACGCAGCAAGCCAGGCCCTGCATGCAGAGGAGGCAGGTCTGGGCGCTAAGAGCCACCCTGTAGCAAGATCACTTGGGACTCTGCTCACAGGAGGCAGAAAGGGTGATGAGATCACAGGCCAACCCAAGACCCATCATCCACTGGCAGCCTCCCCTCGGGTCTGTGCCTCCAGCCCAGCCACCGACAGGACACCCTCTGGCCGACACAGGCCCAAGTGCCCCACACTGGGCCACAAACAGGGGCAACGCCCACCTTTGAGCAGGTCAGAGAGCGGGGGGCCACAGTCACCCGGGATCGTGTAGTCCCCCTTCCCAATGTTCTCGAACAGCTTGTAGATGTTGTCCCCTTCAAATGGGTACAGGCCCGTTGTGATGTTGTAGCTTTATGTCCAAGGGAAGGAAGAGGTGGTCAGCTGCCGGCTGGCACCCTCAGACCCCCAGTGAGGCTGCCTGTGGGGGCTGTACAGGCTCTGAGACAGGCCCCATCACCACCATTTCATGCTCCTGGAGGCAGGAACTTTCCCTGACCATGGCCAGGTGAGGTGGGAGAGGGGAGCATGCCCTGAGCCCATGGGGCCAACAGTCCTGAGGCCATGCTCGCTGGCAGGGCTCCCTCTGGGGTGATGTGAGCATTAGGAATTAGCTAGAGATGGGGACGAGCCACTCTGGACATACCAGAACCCAGTGACTGCACACTGTGAGAAAGGGAATGTGGGATAGGTGACCTGTCTGGAGGTGTGAGGGTCTGGACTTACAGCCACACCCTATGCCTAACAGGGCCTGTGGGTGCCAGAGAATCACTATAGCCCCTCAACGCTGTACACACTGCATGTTCAGGGTGGGACTAGAGTCCAGGGCACTTACAGTGTGACTCCAGCTGACCAGATGTCCACCTTGAAGCCAGAGAAGGTGTCCAGGCCATTGGCAATTTCAGGTGGCTGGAATGCTGGGGAGCCCTGGCTTGTCCGGCAAGTGTCATCCGCAGCAAAAGGGTGCAGGGCCTGCAGCAGTGCCACGTGGCCCTCAGGGAGTGCCAGGGGAGGAACCCACACCCCGACTCTCCTCGCGGAAACAGGCGCCTACCTCCGCGACACCCAGGTCAGAGATCTTGAGTGTGCCACTGGTGGTGAGCAGCAGATTACCGGGTTTGATGTCCTTGTGCACGATACCCTGGCTGTGCAGGTACTCCAGTCCGTCGATGAGCTGGCAGAAGTACCTGCCAGGGAGGCACATGTCTTAGCTGCGGCCTCCTGACTTTCCACTGGTGCACCAGGACCACCCAGGACGAGATCTGTGCAGTCCAGGAGGCTCGCAGAGACCAGAGGCTACAGGATAGCTGCTCAGGGTCCAGGCAAGCAGACCAGGGAACCTCAGAGACCACTGGCTGAAGCTGAGCCCACTGGGGCCCCACATGGCTGTGCCACCTCCCCCACAGGCCAGGACCCCAGGCTCACCCCACTGGCCTGGCTGGCCCCTGGTATCCCAGGCTCCCCGGACCCTAAAGTCTTGCTCAAACCTTGATCTCTTCTGACTGCTGCCACCTAGCAGGGCCAACCAGGCCACAGTGCTTCCCAGGGGGAGGGGCTGCAGGCCTCAGGAGTGGGAACCCAAGTTCTGATAAGCAGGAGGGCCCCATGATGGGCAGTTCTGCAGCAGCTGGGCTGTGGATACCACACTCATGCCCCCAAAACTACTTTTTAAAAACCTGGGTTTTCACTCCCGTGGTAATCAGGAAATTCAGTTTGAACATGGGACTAGATGGTCCAGGCCTTGGACCTGTGTGTGCTGGGACTGCTGGTGGGCTCTGCCACAGCTCACTCACCCGTGGGCTTGGCACACAGGGAAGCGCTTCTCGGGCACACTGTCCAGCATCTCCTGCATGCCACACACGCAGTACTCCATCACCATATACGTGGGGCACTAAGGAAACACGCTCACGGGCAGGGCCCACCCACCCCAGACCAGGGCAGCAGCCAGGAGGGACGGCTCTGCAGCTTCCACCCCAGAGAGACCCCGGGCCCAGAGTAACTGAGTTAATGAAGATGAACAGCCATGCTTAGGGCAGGGAACAAGGAGCACAGGTCCCTACACTCTCTCAGAGTCCTGGCTATCACCAGAGTCCACCGGGGCCCTACCCCTGCAGGACCTCAGAAGAGCCACCAGAGGGCAGTGCTGGACCTGCCAGCAGTACACACCTTGATGGAACAAGGACATGGTACAGCTGCTGCCCCAGGGGCAGGACTGTGGGACAGCGCTGTCCCCAGGGACTGTCCCCAGGGAGGGTCTCCAAGATGTGGGGTCAAAACGTTCTCAAGGGCCTGCACACAGGACACCCACCCCAAAGTCCCTCAGCAGAAAGGATATATCTTTTGCTTCTCCTCGTTGTACAGCACGTCTACCAGCTGGATGACGTTTCTGTGCCGCAGACGCCTCAGGAGCTGGATCTCCCTGGAGTGAGAAGGCGGGTGACAGCAAGCCTCAACCTCAGTGACCCTGGCCCGTCAGCACAGGCTCCACAATAGCACAGCAGGGCCACCGCCAGGCCTGCCGTCTCACCCCTTGCCCCTTCTCCTGGAGGCCCCTCAGCTACAGAAGTCAGGTCAGGTCTCCCTGGGCCACCTCAGGGCCAGGGCTTGGGCTGAACACCTTCCACACAGGGACCACACGTCTGCCGAGGCAGCCCAGTGGCCAGCAACGTTGAGCCATCTGGGAAGGTCTTGCTGCCACTGCTATGTATGGTCAGGTTTGCTAGGGTACCAGCGTGAGAGGACCACCCCCTACTGATGCCAGGACTGAACCCAGGGACATTTAACCACTGAGCAACATTCCCAGACCTTTTATTTTTTGAGACAGGGTCTTGTTAAATTGCTTAGGGCCTCACTAAATTGCTGAGACTGGCCTCGAACTTGTGATCCTCCTGCCTCAGCCTCCTGAGTTGCTGGGATTATAGGTGTGTACAACCGTGCCCAGCTCCAGCCAGACTTTTTCAACTCAAGAATAATAGTTGTGCTTCGCTGATGTCAGTGCACGCACACTTGCTGTGTGCTGGGGGTGGGCCACATTGGCTCCATAACCCTCCTTGTACCACAAGGCCACACCTCCAGGCATCCTACCCACAACCCCCTAGGTCCACTCCCTGGGCACACCACCCAGACAAGCCAGGTGGAAGGATGGTCCAGAGAAGAAGGCATGGGCAGAATGAGCGTGCCTGTGGACCCCCACAGCAGGGCCAGCCTCCAGCAGAGACCCTGGCACTGCTCCACTGCCGCAGACCAAGTCTGACCAGCAAGGAGCCTCCTACCCAGGTCTGTGAGCTGGCGACCTGGGAACCCCTACCAAGCAGCTGTCCAGAAGGACCACAAACGTCCTCCTAGGCACCTATGCAGGACACTCATAGCACACACAAGGTGAGCAGCCCAAGTACACAGGAGGGTGAAGGGACACACAGTTGGCACATCCACACCTACAGCATCCTCAGCCAGGGCAGCACAGTGACAGCTGCAGCGAGGATGGACCTGAGGACCTTGTGCTTGCTCAGTGAGAGCCAGACACACAGGCCGCAGTATGAGCCCAGTGCCAGGAGGGCCCAGCGTCGAAACATACATGAGTGCAGGACTGGGGGGATTGGGGCAGGGGGAACGACTGCTTTTAGGAATGGGAGTTTTCTTTGTTCCATACAAAAGATTCTCACACTGGATTGTGGCAACACTCATAATATGTAGTATATAAGCTTCAATCCTGCTGGTGAGGTAGCACACACCTGTAAATCCCAGTGACTCAGAAGGCTGAGGCAGGAGAATCCCAAGTTAGAGGCCAACCTCAACCTCAGCAACTTAGCAAGACCCTGTCTCAACATAAAAAATATAAAAAGGGCTGGAGTAAGTCAGTGGTAGAGGGCCCCCGGATTCAACCTCCAGTGCCCAAAAAAATTTCTTAAAAAAAAAAAAGTAGGAAGGGCTGGGACTGTGGCTCAGCAGTAGCGTACTTGCCTGGCACACGTGAGGCACTGGGTTCAATTCTCAGAACCATGTATAAATAAATAAAATAGAGATCAATCAACAAGGGGAAGAAAAAAAAAACAACAACAACAACTAGGAAGCCCAAGCATGACACACAAAAAAGAGAGGGTGTCCCCTGAGTTTGCCTGGCCCCCACCCCCAAGGTTCTGCCTCTTCCAGGAAAGCCTGCCCCCCGCCGCCCTTGCCCCTGGGTGCCCTTGTCCCCACCCCAGTGCAACAATCCTGTGACTCTGTGCTGCTCATCCCTCACTGAATCGAGGGAGGTCAGTCTCCTACCAGGACAGGGTAGGGAGGGGACTCTGGAGCAGGCTCCAGCACCCTCCAAGGAAGTGCGCAGCATGCAGCTCCACATGTGCCTGCTCCTCAGAGACCAGAGAGCTGGAGGCCTCTGACTCCCAAGTCAACACAGGCCCTCTGGAATGTCCCCAACAGCTCAGGGGCTGCCCAGAGACCCACCAGAGAAGAAAAGTGGTCACCCCAATCCTGCACCCTGCCCTGTCAAGCATTCTGCCCAATTCTTGTGGAGTGCCAGTATCCACAATCACTTGCCCTGCTAAGGCCCTAGGGTGCTGTCCACATTGAAACCCACATGCTGAGGTGGTCAGGCCCAGGAGCTGGACCCCGGTTTATACTGTCTGCAACATCAGGAGTATATTCTGGCATCTACTGAAAACCAAAAATGGATTCAACACTTTTTTGCAAATAATTAACAGGGTTTTCCCTTTGGTACCATGATGGACACTAGGTCAGTTTGCCCTCTGGGGTAGGGTGTTCTGGGAACTACAGGTGCTGAGCAGTGACCCTGGTCTTATTCCACTGCATGCCAGCTGCACCCCAGTCCTGACATCACCAGTTACTCCTGGGGCAGCACCACAGCAGGTGAGGCTCAGTGCTGTCCTCCCCAGGGCCTTCCTGGCCTGGCATCCAGTGCTGACCCCCAGACCCAGCCACTGCTCACGCATACAGCACTGTTTTCAAACGCTCCTCTGGTTCCATGGTCTCTGCCCCCATCCAGTGGACACATCCGTCTGAGTGACAGTTGCTACCCCTCAGCCCCAGGGCACCTGGACCTGCCCAGTCTCCCCTTCCACTCTGGGACTTTGTCCACCTGGACTCCTACAGTAGCCCTGGCTTCCTGGCTCTTCTCTACAGAAGACTTCAACACCCCTGCATGGAGGGCCAAGCCGACCCAGGGCTTCCCATCTCCCCCAAGGCCTTTGAGGGCAGTGAGCTGCAGCTCTTTCTTAGGGTCTAGGGCATAGTGTCCATGTCACCAGCTGCCACAGCCACAAGCCACAGGCATCCCAGATGCAGTGCAGAGCTGCCTTCTCTCAGAATTCTCCAGCACCTGCCATTCACTCCACAAACCAACTCTCCCTGAGGTCCTAGTGGGGCCACCAAGGGGCGGCGTCTAACTGGGGCTCAGGTAGGCACTAGGCACGGGCACATCTCTGGAGAAGTGCTCCACTCGTGCAGGAGCATGCTGGGCGATGAGCCCTTACCAGCATGCCTCTGGGTTCAGTCCCAAGTACAAAAAAAGTGGCAATCATTTCACAGCAGGAAAGGCAATAGACTGGTTCTGTGACCTGTTTTGGTCCAGAAGTCACACAGCAGCAGACTTTCGACTATTGGGAAAGATCTTAAGAATCATGCCACTGAGGACATCCGAGCAAGGACGGACCAGAACCTCTGGCGCTGTTCAGATTCTCTGCAGCCCTCCACTTAACACCCTACTGAGGCTGGCTGCTGATTCCTTACCTGTCTTCCTGAGGTGACTTCCTAACAGGTTGATGGAATAAATCAATTTTAAAAAATGAACTAGAGCAGCTGGGGTTGTGGCTCAGTGGTAGAGCACTTACTGAGCATGTGTGAGCCACTGGGTCAATCCTCAGCACTGCATATAAATAAATAAATGAATAAAATTAAAGTCCATCAATGCCTTAAATTTTTTTTTTTTAAATAATGGACTTTGGGACTGAGTTGTGTCTCAGTGGTAGAGTTCTTGCCTTGCATGGGTGAGGCACTGGATTCAATTCTCAGCACCACATATGAATAAATGAATAAAATAAGGTCCATCAACAACTAAAAAACTATTTAAAAAACTGGACTAGAAAAAAAATGGACTAAAAAAACCCAAAAACCTCAACTGAAAAAAGCAACATAGGAAACTTTTCCAAAGAGACAATATTTTGTTTGTGCAGTGCTGGGGATGGAGACCAGGGGCTCAAGCATGTTGGGAAAGCATACCCCCAAGCCCTTTGTATTTTGAAACAGGATTTCACTAAGTTTCCCAGGTTGGCCTTGAACTTTCCGTCCTCTTGCCCCAGCCTCTTGAGTTGCTGGGATGACAGGTGTACATCCCTTCACCTGGCTTAGATAATTTTAAATTTAAATTAAGAAAATGGGCTGGGGATATAGCTCAATTGGTAGAGTGCTTGCCTTGCATGCACAAGGCCCTGGGTTCGATATCCCAAGCACCACAAAATAAAAAAAGAAAGAAAGAAAGAAATTACTTGGGAGAGCCAGGCACAGTGGCACATGCCTGTAATCCAGTGGCTCCGGAAACTGAGGCAGGAGGATCACATTCAAAGCCAGCCTCAGGAACAGTGAGGCTGAATCCCTGTCTCTAAATAAATTCAAAAAAGCGTTGGTGATATGACTCAGTGGTATCCCAAAAAGAAATTACTTGATAGAAAAACTCCTTAAAAACTTAGAAAACAAATTGTGCAATTATCAGGATCAAATTGTGCAATTATCAGGATCAAGAGGAATGAATTCATGTGGGTGTGGTGGAGGCAGGAGGTTCTCAAGTTCAAGGCCAACCCAGGCAATTTAGTGAGATTCTGTCTCAAAACTATAAATAAATAAATACTCTTTCTATAGGTATAGTGTACATAAGTACGCTCTAATTAAGGGGACCAAAACATTCTGTGTCCATATATAAGCCACGTTATTTGTACCAAGAAAAAAATAGAGATCTGGGGTTGAAGATTAGTGGTAGAGCACTTGCCTAGTACGTGTGAGGTCTTGGGTTTGATTCTCAGCACCACATATGAATAAATAAAATAAAGGTTCACCAACCACTTATATATACATATATATGTATATATGAAAAAAAAAAAAAGAAAAACCATGTCCAACTTGAAAAGAAGTGAGAAGATACACAAGTGTGCCAAAGTGAAGACAGGGTAACTACGTGGGGTTAGGCAGATCAGCTCAGGATCGTCCTAACTGCACAGTGAAAACTCCGCAGCAGGAGGAGCCCGCCTGCCCCACCTGCCATTCTCAGTGTTTTCCACAGATAAGGAAAGGAAAAGAGAAAAGGAAAAAGAAAAGTGATATTTAAAGCAGCAGCTCCACACTCGACAGAGATGCAGGAAGTGTTCCTGAGCAAAGGAAGCAGCACCTTCCGTCCACCAGGAGCAACCT